GAGCTTAAGATTAAAGCGCATACACTCATCGTCGTTCAACGGCGTTGGTGAGTTGTAGTTCGGTTTTGCGCGAAAGTATTCTATTGTACGTTTGAAAATCCACGATTTTGTGCCCAGAAACGACGGGATATTGCCTTCCCAATGGTTCTCACTGGATGCTCTCTCCAAGAAACCGATAATCACTTCATCGGGCACCGTATCTCGCGTATACTTCTGACGAATCCACAGCAATTGATGTCGATAGCGTTCGTGCAGCAACTTGAATCGTGCCTTGCGAATAAAATTGTACATATATTCGATGAGTCTTGTTTGGACGCGTTTGTAGACGAATTCGTCAGTTTTCAGTATTTTCGGTATCACGTGAGTAAAATCGATCCGCTTCAAATCCAATCTCAGCCAGTCCTTTATTGCCAGTGTTGCTACGGCCCAGTCACGATAATCATCACGAATCAGCCGTGTTGAGCCACGAATAAATACTTCGCGCATCGCTCTTTCATAGTTCATCTCATTCCCTTGATAATATTATTGATTATTATTGTTATTATCACTNAAAATTATTTGAAATCAGTTCGTTGATAATTATTGCCTATCAACACATTTTGTTAACCAAAAAGTTATATCAGATGAGATGAATATCATTCAACTCCTATCAGCAATGAGTTCTTCGACTAAATAAACGAGCATTTCCAAAGGTGGGCGAAAACTACAAGAGCATTTGATGCGAACGTATGAATAAAATAGATACCTTCAGCAATCGAGAAATGCGTTGAAATTTTATGCGTGCGATTGAATATGGTTGTTACTTCTTCATTGATTACTGTAACGAATAATTTACCGATAATTCAGTGATTTAATCATTTCCTTTATCAAAAAACAAAATCTCCTTAATATGTCAAGATTGATCACGGTACAGAAATCGATTGACATTCGCCGTTTTGTTCTGAATACAAGTCTGACCAAAAGCCACAAAAAAAGCCTTCATCAAACAAAATCCCATCATTCCATTGAATTTGATTTAAATCTTCTGAGGGATTGCATGGGAACAGAAAACGAAGGCTTATATACGGAAATATGATCTATCATAGATTTACTTATTTAATGAGTGATGATATTGGTCTAGTAAGATATCAGTAATAAATATAATCACTGAAGATTAAAGTNAAGGTGAGCAGAAAAATGATAAACGGTTAAACTAAAGGTCAATAATGTGATTAAAGGCTCTCTAAAGACAAATATTTTCCAATGGCTATTGATTCAACACGCTAACGATCTCAGAAAGCCTTGAGAATCGCTCGGTCACCACCGAACAAATGCTCTAATGGCCTGCAGAAATCGTGAAAATCCACCGATCTAACTTTACCGCAGTTTTGAGGCGATTGATTCGCGATGAAATGAGGGGACTATTAATGGATATATGTATTGGTATTAAAACAAACCTCGTTCTAAGTCTTTGTTCTGTTTATATGCCTTATTTCTAACACCAGAGATATTTCGCATTATATACGAAGGAATCGGTCGATACAACGTCCATCCATGCTCATCTGAGGTTTTGTTGACAATGCGTGAGATGGCCTCACGTAGCAATTCTTTGTTGAGATTCAGCATTTTGATACGGTTCAGTTCATCACGATTCTCTCTCACGACAATCGTCTGTCGACAGTTGTAGATATGATTTGAGATGTATTTGCGTAAAGCGTTCTTGATACGAGCATCTTCATTCGCATCATTCTGCAGACATGACGGTAC